CCGGCACAGCCGGCGATTTGAGCCCTTTTGTAGTATATAATTATAATAAGGAACACCCATCATGACCCAGCACTCAAAGATGCTCTAATGCAATTCTTCCCAATCGATCAACACATTTGCGCCACAGGAGTTGACAGGCGCCTAATGGGACCACTAACATCAAGCCTAAAATCCTGATATACGGAAGATCTACAGCCCTCTTTGGTCTTAGATCCCCCAAAATGGTTTAGGGGTTTAGGGCATCCCTCTAAACCCTAGGCCGCCAATAGACCCTACTAAACACGACAAGGCCGCCCGCCCTCGAAGCCCCAAAGCCGCTGAAGGCCCGCAAACTCGACGAGCAGCGAAGCTTGTCGCTGGCCTCTGATACATGGGTGGTTGTCAAAATTATGGTCCCTTTTTGGGTCCTTATTATAATACGGCACCTATTATTTAGGGTACCCCAAAAGGGACCATAATTTTGACAACTACCCACATGGCTGGTTCTCTAAATTAGGGTTTAGGGTTTAGGGTTCCCTTTTAGGGTTCGTTAAATACAGGCAACTATAAGGGCTTCTGCAGTTCTAGATGGGTGGTTCTCTAAATTCGGGTGCCTTTGGGGCTCCTTTTTAATACGGGTGCCGTACGATGTTGGGGACAAAAAAGTCTCTAAATTAGGGTCCGTTTTGGGATCCTTTTGATACGGGTGCCGTACTATTGGGGACCGAAAATAGGGACCCTAATTTAGAGAACTACCCACATACACAATCATACATACCTACATGCACACACTTGCCACAGCAACACACTATGCTTGCGATTCGGGTTGGCACCTCCAAAAGTCGTCCTCCTGCCATCGTCCCGTTCGCGTTTTTGGGTGGGAGTCGTACGCATTCTGGCCTCATGGGTCTTGAAATGGTTTTACGTGCTCATGGCTTCGAATGCTAGGTGCCGTTTTGCTTTTCAGCTTTATGCTGGCATTCTATTACTGCGGCTGTTATGGATTTAGCAGTTTCAAGCTGGGTATGAATATTTTGGAACACGAAGGCCGCATTCCAGGTGTGTAGGAGTTCGACAGCGACCAACGAAGACAGGTGCAATCCGTTATTCCGGCCATGGGGTAGCAGTCCCCGCCGAGACGAAGAACTTCGCACGATGGTTCCTAATTCCCGTGCTGTATGCATATTAGAGCTTGTTCCTTTTTTTATCGATTCTTGTCTTCGCATTATCCACAGCTGTCCCCACTCCCCCTAAAAGCGCTAAAATGCACGATCTACCGGATCATAGTGCCTTGTCGTCCCACTTTCACAATTGGGAGTTTCCGAAAATAGGGGTACCTTATTCTTTTGGGGTCCTTATAATAAGGGTCCTACTATTTGGGGGACTATATTAGGGTCCCCTATTTTGGGAAACCCCCAATTCAAACTCCTCAACTTGGAAACGCCTGGCAAATCTCGGGAAAGTCCAAGCAGTCCGGTCCCGAAGCCCGAACCCCAAGCTTGAATGTGTGCGATGACCTCCTCGCAACGACCTGAGGTTGCTAATTTCCCCGCGACGGAGCCTCGACTTGTTCAGAAAGGTTCGTTGCGTTTCATTTGAAGACGGTTTAACGTTTGAGGTTTTGGGGCTTGCAGGGCTTGTAGTTTGTAGGGTTCAGGGCTTAAGGGCCTGTATGGCTGAATTATAGGTTTCAGGACGATTAGGGTGTGTCCGGCTCTCAGGGCTCAGAAAACTTGAAGGGTTTCGGGTGGACAGAATAGTCTTACGAAGCTCAGAAACCTGCTTCTATCATAGCTGCAATGTCATCATATTATGGTCATGGTGATCATGTTCATCACTCTGAATCCAAATCCCTAAACCCTACATCCCTAAACCCTAACCTGGGGGTGTAAAGTGTAAACCCAAATATAAGGGTCTAAATAGTTACTAATACTAGTTTGGGAGTTCCTTAATCTAGTTATAGTATAATATACCAAACCCTATTCTAATCATTAAGGCCCCACATTACACCACTCATCGTTCTTTTCTTTTGGAGGGCCGACCTCGAAGGTTTCCTGCGGAACCCCCACGTAAGAAGCCACGCAGAAAGGTTCTGTGTACTCGGTGTTTGCGAGATTCGTAGGTTTAAGTGTCGCGTTTGCAGTTTGGGTGTGAATGTCAAGGGTTTGGGGTTTTGGGGTTTCGCATGGAGAAAGCACACGGAAGTTGGGTCAAGGAATTGCAGAGAGCCTTTCTGGCGGACTGTTCCATGGGAGTTGTGTCGTTGATGCGAAGAAAGACATGTACAAAACCTCACGAGTTTCCAAGAATTCAATTCGATATCCTCTGACTGATGATCATCCATTGTTGAGGCAACTGCGCATGTGTTGTCCGTGGGTGTCATAGGGCATGTATGTTTGGCAATTTCCTAGCGTACATCGTTTTCGCCCGTTGGCCTTTGATTGCTGCTGCGTCAGCACGTCCTGATAACGTTGTGAACTGAGTTCCAGACGATGATCGTCGAGCTGCCAGCCCCCTGCGGACTTAGGTTGAAATGAGGCTTAGACTTGAGGCACAACCCTTTCAAACAAAGGATCACGGCTACCGCCACTGACACATTTGAAGACTGCTGTCGTTTGGCTGTGCGATTATACTCCTAAACATGCACTGCTGCCTCGCCGTTTGTTGCGTATCATGGTCCTTTCGGGTCTGGCAAGTCTCATCTGGGGCACAGACCGGTCTGGCAATTCTCATCTACGGAACAGGCGGCTACAGTAAACCCTAAGCACTTAGCCCTAAACCCTAAAACCCCAAGCGCTTACCCCTAAACCCTAAAACCCTAAGCACTTAGCCCCAAACCCAAAAACCCTAAGCACTTAACCCTAAACCCTCAAACCCTATGCACTTAACCCTAAACCCTAACACCTTTCAGGTAAACCTATGAGGCCTTCAGCACGCAGCACTAGCCTAGCAGAACCACCGACGAGACAAAGCCGGGACTCGCTCCGGGGGGATTGCTATTTTGGGGGTGCTTTCAGGGTACTAATGAGAATAGGGTTTTGGCGGCCCACTATACTATAACTGTACTAAAGAACCCCAAAACAGTACTGCTAAGTATTTAGGGTACTACAGTGGTGTAGGGTCTAGGTTTTAGTTGAGACCAGCCTTAGCCTACTGAGCTCGAAGCCTCTAAAGCCCTAAACCCTAAACCCAAATCCTAAACCCTAAACCCTAGACCCAAATCCTACACCCTAAACCCTAATAAACCCTAAACCGTCCTAAAACCTAAATCCGAGGTATCCCAGACCCAAGACTTAAGACTCTCAACCGGAACATGCCCCCAAACTCTCCAGGAAGGGCAGCGTGTGGTCTTCCCTCAACAAGACCTATGCGCCTCGGCGCTACAGCATGGAAGACGGTGAAGTAGAGGTCTGAATCACCACTGGGCCCATGTTGGGCGGCCTTTTTTTAGGGTTTAGGGTTTAGGGACGTTCCGCAGCGCTCCCATCTGCCGCGCCAGGTGTCTCAGCTGGAGAAAGCCGGCCGAATGCAGCCCAGCGGCCGCGCCAAGATCGAGCAAGCCAAGAAGGAGGGATAGGGCTAATATCGGGGCCTTAATAATGACCTACATTATTTTGGGGGGGCTCCTTATTACAACTATAGTAAAAGGGCCCCAAAACTCTAATTATTGAGGCCCCTTTAGTAAGGGCTTGACGCCGACGCGGTAGGATCCAGGCCTTGGCGATTTGCAGCAGAGGGTTCGGGTGACACACCTCTACGTGAATAATCAGAATATGGTTTTGGGGGTTCCTTATTACGATTATTGTATAATATAGCGCCAAACCATAATCTAATCATTAAAGCTCCTACATTAAACACTATGCTCCCTAGATCCTAAAAAGCTTTAAGGCCCAAATGCTGATCAAAGATCCCTGATTGATCAACCCTCTCTCGATACGGGTTACACTGGTGACTAGGGTTCTTAGTGAAGGTTTTAATGTCAAGATCATGAGAGAGCAGCCGTATGTCAGTCAGCGCTGCCTGATCGTCAATCACGCATCTACACCCTAAATCTAAGGTTGAACCCATGGGCCCCTAGTATGGGCCCTTAGCCCTGGGATCCTTATACACCTACTATATAACCTATATGAACCCTTAAGGGTCCCTAGAAAGGCCTAAGGGTCCATATTAGGGGCCAT